CCAGGCTCTCTGCTTGAGATGCTAGTCTTGCTCACTTTTTGCTCCTGCTGGCCTTGAGAGGCAGCAGTCTCTGCGGCTGCCTCCAGAGACCTGTGAGACACGGAGCCCGGCCCCATGGACTTTTAACAATGGGGCTCTAGCAGAAGGAGCCCAAACAGCAGGCTAGTGCAATGCATGCCTATCTTCTATCTCCCATGTGATCAAAACAGGGAGGCAGAGGCAAAACCAAAAATTACAGCGTGAAATGAAAGCCTGTACTATTACAGGACACACACACACACACACACACCACACATGCGCTTCAGCCGGAGGATAAATGGAAAATGCAGACCAGGAGCAGTAAGGGAAACCTGTTGAGAAACCGTTGAACCACTAACTGATCACTTAGCGGCGGCCAGTGCTGCTGGACTCCATGCTGGGCTTCCTGCGGGCGGCCAGTGCTGCTGGACTCCATGCTGGGCTTCCTGCGGGCCGCCACACCCTCCCCCCCCCCCCCCCAGACTGCTGAATCTGTTGGCAGATTCGGGTCTGTGACGGATGCAGACGCAGTTATGCCTCCTTCGAGGAAGGCTCAGTCCGGCAGCGGCTTCCTTCCCGGTCCTCTGCCAGCGAACTGAATTCTACAGACCGGAGGAAGTTGAGGAAGCCCATCTAGTCCAAACACCACCCAAAGCTAGATTCTAAATGCATGCACCTGGCAGAGAGTCATGAAAGAGTTTTCTACAGTCAAGACTCTGCACGGATGGCTGGGGTGCCACAAATCTGCCTAAATTCCACCTTCCCTCAACGACACCAAGGAGAGAAGCCAGGGAGCTAGAGACTATGAAACAGTGAGCATGAAAAGCGAAAGACAGGGAAGCACAGAGGATGACCTTGGATGACCTCTGAGGACACCACCAGCCCTCTTCCCACAGCCTGCCCTTCCTGCCCGTGGGTCTTCCTGGCATTTTCCAGGGCTTTTAAACACGGGATCCCTCTGCCGCCGGCAATGCTCTTCCCCTACAATCTGCACTGCCGGGTCCTGAGCTTCCTGCCAGAGCAGGAGGGGACCGCTCCACTGCCAGCCAGCACTGGTGGGCAGGGAGCAAACGTGCAGACAAAGTGACTGATGGCCTTAATGAGTCAAAGAGCCATCTGCCCTGGCAGGGGTGCAACCCGGGTCAAGCCATGGGATTCTTCCTGAAGGACAGACACACAGGTGTCAGCACGATCCAGCTGACACACAGACACAGGCGCGGGCACCCCTTCCTTCCGAACCTTCTCGCTCCATGCCCGGCCACACGGGCACTCATGCCCGGGCCAGAGGCCACCAAAGCCAGGACCTCGCCTGACCGGAACCCACACAGCGACTGGAGGCAAAGGCCGCTTCTGCCCCCGTGCCGGACAAGAAAAAGATGTTCTACCTTTCCAAACTAAATCCACATTTCAGTAGACAGTTAAAACCCACACAAGACCGATTACACTGATATTACCATCTGCAAGGAATGTCCATTTACTAAGTTTAGACACAAGAAAATACATTTCACTACTGGACATAATTGTCTGGCTAGGAAAATGACTAATAGAAAAGGTTTAAAAGGCAAGTTACATGGTTCAAGCAAAAGGGCAACAATGTAATGTTAGTAGTATTTTTCACTGGAAAAAAAAAAAAATCAAAGCCGGGCACTGATGGCTCACGCCTATAATCCTAGCTACTCAGGAGGCTGCGATCTAAGGATCCAGGTTCAAAACCAGTCTAGCAGAAAAGTCTGTGAGTGTCTTACATCCAATTAACCAGCAAAACAAGCCAAAAAAGCTCAGCTGTGGCTCAAGTTTACAGCACCAGCCTTGAGTTAAAAGCTAAGAGGAACAGTGTCCAGGCATGCGTACATGTACACATATGTACACATACGCGAGAGAATCAACTAGCTTTTAGTCGGAACTAGGAATGATGTAGAATTTTCAGCTGAATATTAGTATTTAAATTATACTAAATGAAAACCCTGCTCACATCTTCACCACAAAAGCAGCAAAACAAGAAGGAAATAAGCTTGAGATTTCTCACTTTGGATTTAACATACAAGTGCAAAAAGAGAACAGGGAAACCTGTAAAAACTGTTTTAAGAAGGGGGAAAGGGAGGTGTGAGAGATGGAGGGAGGGAGGAAGTCTGACTAGGATTGATCATATGCTAATATGGAAGTGTGCGTTAATATACCTTATGAAATCTTCCCCCCAAACTTCTCACTTCAATCAACACCTCCACAGACTGCATTCTTGGTGCTGGCAAAGTGATATTTTTCTCAGTTTGTTTTTTTTTTTTGGTCGGTCATGGGGCCTGAACTCTGGGCCTGGGCGCTGTCCCTCAGCTCTTCAGCTCAAGGCGAGTGCTCTACCACTTGAGCCACAGTACCATGTTTTATTGGAGATAAGAGTCTTATGGATATTTCTGCCTGGGCTGGCTTTGAACCGTGATCCTTAGATCCTCAGAGTAGCTAGGATGACAGGTGTGAGCCATGGGTGCCTGGCTCAGTTAATTTTTAATAACTGTCTCCCCAAATGCCCAACAGTGTGAGTCTGGGCACGGGTGTTAGTTTGCTTCTGGGAATGAGCAAAACCATGTCCCAGGACTTTCTGCCGGCGTTCAGAGCCCAACGCTGGGCCGTGTCACCCTACGGGGACCTGGTCCTCCCGTGTGGCAGAGAGACTATAACAGGTCCTCAGCCACCTGTAAAAAGGACTTACTCCTACGGCTTTCTGGTCACCTGCTCACAGCAATACCAACAGTTACAGTTCTAGAAGGAGAGAGAGATGCTGCAAATATGACTCGTTTTTCATAAGTACAGGAAAAGCTATAAATGAGAGAGGAGAGAAAGACCGAGACAGAAAGACAGTGAGAGACAGTCAGAGAAAGAGAGATGGAGAGACACTGAGACAGAGAGACAGAGAGCGAGAGCGACACAGAGAGACGGAGACTGAGGCAGACACAAGGACAGAGAGAGACAGAGACACAGAGACGGGAGAGACCAGGAGGGGGGCAGGGTCGGGGAGGGGGGCAGGGTCCGGAGGGGGGCAGGGTCGGGGAGGGGGGCAGGGTCGGGGAGGGGGGCAGGGTCGGGGAGGGGGGCAGGGTCCGGAGGGGGGCAGGGTCGGGAGGGGGGCAGGGTCGGGGAGGGGGGCAGGGTCGGGGAGGGGGGCAGGGTCGGGGAGGGGGGCAGGGTCCGGAGGGGGGCAGGGTCGGGGAGGGGGGCAGGGTCGGGGAGGGGGGCAGGGTCCGGAGGGGGGCAGGGTCGGGAGGGGGGCAGGGTCGGGGAGGGGGGCAGGGTCCGGAGGGGGGCAGGGTCCGGGAGGGGGGCAGGGTCGGGGAGGGGGGCAGGGTCGGGGAGGGGGGCAGGGTCGGGAGGGGGGCAGGGTCGGGAGGGGGGCAGGGTCGGGGAGGGGGGCAGGGTCGGGAGGGGGGCAGGGTCGGGAGGGGGGCAGGGTCGGGAGGGGGGCAGGGTCGGGGAGGGGGGCAGGGTCGGGAGGGGGGCAGGGTCGGGAGGGGGGCAGGGTCGGGGAGGGGGGCAGGGTCGGGCGGGGGGCAGGGTCGGGCGGGGGGCAGGGTCGGGGAGGGGGGGCAGGGTCGGGAGGGGGGCAGGGTCGGGAGGGGGGCAGGGTCGGGGAGGGGGGCAGGGTCGGGGAGGGGAACAGGGTCGGGGAGGGGGGCAGGGTCGGGAGGGGGGCAGGGTCGGGGAGGGGGGCAGGGTCGGGGAGGGGGGCAGGGTCGGGAGGGGGGCAGGGTCCGGGAGGGGGGCAGGGTCGGGGAGGGGGGCAGGGTCGGGAGGGGGGCAGGGTCGGGAGGGGGGAAACAGAGGGAGCGAGTGTGTGAATGAGTGTGTGTGTGTGTGAGTGTCTCCCCAAACCAGAAGCCAGACCCCTAATTTCCGGGTCGGGGGTCAACCCTCCGCCAGCCCCGCGCGGGGCGGCCGGGCGGCCGGGCCTCCTCCGTCGGGGCCGGGCCGGGGAGTCCGCGAGGCGGGGCCGGGCGCCCGCAGCCGCCACGTCCCGAGAGGCTGGGGGGGGGGGGGAGAAGGCGCGGGTGGACAGCGGCCGGCCAGGCCCGGCCCCCGACCCCGACCTCCGACCCTGACCCCAGATCCCCGACCCCGGACCCCCGGCCCCGACCCCCAATCCCGGACCTCCAGCCCCTGGCCCCGAACCCCGACCCCGGCCCCCAGCCCCCAACCCCGGACCTCCGGCCCCCAGCCCCGGCCCCCGGCCCCGACTCCCGGCCCCGGCCCCGACCCCGGCCCCGGCCCCGGCCCCGGCCCCGACCCCGGCCCCGGCCCCGGCCCCGACCCCGGCCCCGGCCCCGGCCCCGGCCCCGACCCCGGCCCCGGCCCCGGCCCCGACCCCGGCCCCGGCCCCGACTCAGACCCGACCCCGGCCCCGGCCCCGGCCCCGGCCCCGACTCAGACCCGACCCCGGCCCCGGCCCCGACTCAGACCCGACCCCGGCCCCGGCCCCGACTCAGACCCGACCCCGGCCCCGGCCCCGGCCCCGGCCCCGACCCCGGCCCCGGCCCCGACTCAGACCCGACCCCGGCCCCGGCCCCGGCCCCGACTCAGACCCGACCCCGGCCCCGGCCCCGACTCAGACCCGACCCCGGCCCCGACTCAGACCCGACCCCGACCCCGGCCCCGGCCCCGGCCCCGACTCAGACCCGACCCCGACCCCGGCCCCGGCCCCGGCCCCGACTCAGACCCGACCCCGGCCCCGGCCCCGACTCAGACCCGACCCCGGCCCCGGCCCCGACTCAGACCCGACCCCGGCCCCGACTCAGACCCGACCCCGACCCCGGCCCCGACTCAGACCCGACCCCGGCCCCGACTCAGACCCGGCCCCGGCCCCGACTCAGACCCGACCCCGGCCCCGGCCCCGGCCCCGGCCCCGACTCAGACCCGACCCCGCCCGCACAGCCGGAGCCCGCGCGGCTCGGGGCCCCGCGGCCCTCAGCCCCGCGCCGGGCGCGGCCCGCACTCACGTAGGGCTGGTAGAACTTGGACAGCCGCGGCTTCCCGTGGTTGTTGAAGATGAGGATGGCCTTGATCATGGCTGGGTCTGGCCGGCCGGAGGGGCGCTGGGGGCGGCGCCGGGGCGGGGACGGCGCGGGCCGGGCTCGGGACGTCGCCGGCGAGCCTTCCCCGCCCGCGCCCTCGCGCGCGCGCGCACGCACACGCACGCCGGCACGCACGGGGGCGGCACGCCCGCGCGCACGGGCGCGCTCCCGCGCCGGGGGCGGGGCGGGAGGAGAGCGCGGGTCGCGGGATCTCGCCGTGAGCCTGCCCCGCCCCCCCGCGCGCGCGCGCACACACGCACGGACGTGCGCGCGCCCGAGCCGAGGGGCGGGGCCCGGGGAGAGGCCTCCCTGGCCATAAGGCCCGCCCCCGCGCGCGCCCCGCCCTGACTTCCGCCCTGACTTCCTGCCGGCGCGATGGCCGCGGAGCCGCAGCGGGTGCTGCCGCTGCTGCCCCCCGCCGCGGCGGCGGGCGGCGAGGGGCCGGCGGAGGCCTCCCCGGAGCCGGCCACGCCGGACCCCCCCTCCTCCGCGGCGGTGTCCCCCGGCACGGACGAGCCTGCGGGCGACGCCAAGAAAAAGAGTAATGGCGCGGGGGGAGGGAGACGCTGATCGGGGGGGGGGGCGGCCGAGCAGAGAGGCAAAGGCCGAGGCTCCGCCCCAACGGGCGTCCCCGCCGACCGGGAGACGGAGAGGGGGGCGCCTTTGCCTTCTCAAGGCTTCTAACCGGGTCTGAGGGGAAAAATGCGGCGTCTGCGCATGCTCAGACCGCGGGGGGGGGGGCGGGAAACGGGAGCTGGCGGCCTTTGCGCATGCTCAAGCCGGTGGGGGGGGGGGAAACAACGGGAGCTGGCGGCCTTTGCGCATGCTCAAGCCGGTGTGTGTGGGGGGGGGGGGGGAACAACGGGAGCTGGCGGCCTTTGCGCATGCTCAAGCCGGTGTGTGTGGGGGGGGGGGGACAACGGGAGCTGGCGGCCTTTGCGCATGCTCAAGCCGGTGTGTGTGGGGGGGGGGGGACAACGGGAGCTGGCGGCCTTTGCGCATGCTCAAGCCGGTGGGGGGGGGGGACAACGGGAGCTGGCGGCCTTTGCGCATGCTCAAGCCGGTGTGTGGAGGGGGAAACAACGGGAGCTGGCGGCTTCCGCGCATGCTCCTCAGGCCGGGGATGGGGGGGGCGCGCTCGGGCCGGCCTCGGAGGTGGCCGGCGCCCTCCGGTGCTTGGAGGAGAGCCCGGCGGCCCCTGCCAGCGCGGGGGGCCCGAGGTTTACCGGGTTCCAAGTCAGGCCCTCGCTTATTCGTTTCTGTTCATTGTTCTGATCTTTCCCAGGACGGCAGGTGAGGGGAGAGTGGGTGAGGGTGGTGGTTGTTGTTGTTGGGGGTGCTAGTCCTGGGGCTGGAGCTCTGGGCCTGGGCGCCGCCCCTCAGCTTCTTGGGTTCAAGGCCAGCAAGCACGCTCCCAGCTGAGCCACGGCGGGGTTTATTGGAGGTAAGAGTCTCAGGGACTTTCTTGTCCCCCAGCTGGCTTCGAACCGCCATCCTCAGATGTCTCTCAGCCTCCCGAGCAGCTAGGATTTACAGGCAGGAGCCACTGGTCTCACACACACGCACACCCCGCCCCCCCTTGTTTGGTTGTTTGGGGGGAAGTTCAGATACGACATCCTTTACAGACCGCTTTAATTCTCTTTGGAATTACCGACTGTGCCAAAATGTGTTGGAATGGTTAGTCCTTGGCAAGAACTCTGTGGGGTAATCGAACGGAAGAAGTTCAGGTCGGGTGCTGATGGCTCAGGCATCTCACCCTAGCTGCCCACGAGCCTGAGACCTGAAGATCAACGTTTGGAGCCAGCCTAGCCAGACAAATCTATGAGACTTATCTCCAATTACCCAGCAGAAAGCCAGAAGTGGAGCTGTGGCTTATACGATAGAACACTGGCTTCAAGGCAGTGTTAACAGATTACAGCTCACGCCTGTAATCCTAGCTACTCAAAGCTGAGATCTGAGGATCATGGTCCAAAGCCAGCCTGGGCAGGAAATTCCATGAGACTCTCACCTCCAATGAAACACCAGAAATCGTCTCTTGACTAGTTTCAGAAACATAACCCACCAAATGTACATAAAGACATGAGTTTCCTATGGCATCATCATTAAGTATTCCAGTGTGATTGTCAGTTTCTTTTCTTTTACAGTTGACATCCTGCTGAAGGCTGTGGGCGACACCCCTATAATGAAAACCAAGAAGTGGGCTGTAGAGCGAACCCGGACCATCCAGGGCCTCATTGACTTCATCAAAAAGTTCCTTAAACTGGTGGCCTCGGAGCAATTGGTAGGAAGCCAGGGTGACAGCCTTGCTGCGCGGGGTCGCAGTGCTTCTGGGAGACAGGGAATAGCACAGAAACACCAGTGCCTAGTGGGGAGCCCTGCAGAGCGGGTGCTGGCGCTGCGGCTTCACAGCGGTTCCCGGGACAGGGAATAGCAGTGCAGAACCACCTGTGGAGCCACATGTGCCTCACGGGCCCTTCCTGCCTTACAGTGGGGAGACAGGCTCGCCAGGTGGAAAGCTACACACGCCCACCCACACACACACACACACACACACACACACACACACACACACACACGCCAGCACCAGCGCTGTGACTCACTGCCATTCCAGCATTGCTTTTGTCCCATTTGTGCCAAGATGGGCAGTTCATTCAAGAGACGTGCTTGTGCACCTCACACTCAGCGTTGGAATAAACAGCTCCTGAGGCAGCTCCGGCCTTGAGGGTTAAGATTCTGAATGCCATAGTCTGTCCTAGGGCATTTGGCTTCCGGAGCTGGAGCGGCCACGTAGTCCTATCACTGCACAATGGGAGCATGGTCTAAGAAGCGCCTTGGGCGTTTCTGTTGTTGGATGATTGTCAAAGTAAACTTACCAAAACAAACGTGGATGTGGTGTATAATTTTGAGGCCAGCATCTGTTCAAGTCCCTTGCTGGCTCAACGCCACAATGGCTTCGGTGTCTGTTGAGTGCTGTAGCAATGCTGTCTGACAGGCAGCTTCACCAGCAGGCGGGTCATAGGCTTGAACAGCATTACCATAGCTGGCACATGAGGGCGCGGTTGGGATTTGTGCCAGTGCTGGGAGACGTACCTGCTGCGTGCACACACAGGAGTGAGGACAGAAAATGAACCCATCTGTTAGGTGGGATATGTTAGAAATCCTTTTTGTGAGTGAGGAGCGAGAAACTGAAACTCATCCAAGAGTTGGTAAGTGGCTCTCAAAAACCAGACTGACGGTAAATGCAAACGGAAGTAGTCAGCAGGTGCCAGTGTCATACCTCTAGTCCTAGCTACTCATGAGGCTGAGGTCTGGAGATCTCGATTTCATATTGTAAGCCAGTTGTAGGAACTTGTGTTACTTGTATTCCTTTGGAGGGAAGATGTGATCTTCACCAAACCTCATAGTTGGTGGGGTGGAAATGGAGGAAAATAGTTTGAAATCACAGAATCGGAGCCCAGAAAATGACAATTGATTGGTTTTGTCTTTCTCTTCCTCGTAGTTTATTTATGTGAATCAGTCCTTCGCTCCTTCCCCAGACCAGGAAGTTGGAACCCTGTATGAGGTGAGCAGGCGGGTGGGGACTGGCCTACCGTCAGGTGTCCTTGAGCAACTGCCCTTGCGTGCTGCTGCATCTCTAACATCCTGAACATTGTGGGAAGTAAATTCTATTGTGATTGAAAAGCCAGAGTGAGACTCCAGGGGCTCAGAGTGTCCTCTGCCTCTGATTTTGTCTGCATTGGTCCTGTCTGTAATGCAGATTGCCTCCACAAAATTTGAGTGGAACTACATTCAGAAAACTTGCTTCCACCTTGTTCTTTGATGGCAGTAGTCACTAGTGTATACACACAGTGACCTACATTGCCGTCAGAACCAGCCGCTTATACCCGTCAGTCTGGTTAACATCAGCACTTAAGTTATTGGTAAGTGTGGCATAGAAACAGCCGTGTGATGGGGTAAGAAGTTGAAAGGGCTGGCACCAGTCAAGATGCACATATTCATAAACCACAGCTCCTTTGTACCACTGCTTAGACATAATCCAAAATGGAAATGAAAAGAAACAGGCACATTTTCAAGAAATGGCCATAAATCCATGGGTGTCCATGGTGTGGAGAACTTTTTCCCTTTTTTGTTTTTGTTTTCTTTTTTGTCGGTCGTGGGTCTTGAACTCTGGGCCTGGGTGCTGTCCCTCAGCTCATCAGCTCAAGGCTAGCCCTCTACCACTTGAGCCACAGCACCACTTCCGGCCTTTTCTGCTTATGTGGTGCTGAGGAATCGAACCCAGGGCCTCATACATGCAAGGCAAGCGCTCTACCACTGAGCCACCTTCCCGGCCCAGAACATTTCTTTATATGATGTTTCTCCTCGCAGTGTTTCGGCAGTGACGGTAAACTGGTTCTGCACTATTGCAAGTCTCAGGCCTGGGGCTGAGCCACGGTAGAAGCCACTTGCTACAACTTGAGATGGTTTGCAGAGGACCCGGCATGCACTTGCTGTGACTCCTGCTCAGGCGCAAGACAGCATCCATGGAGAGAGTGGGGTACCCCAGTTGCAGTTGGATACTGGTGCACTCATTAATCCCCAAGGACAGGCTCCATTCAGCCCCGCCTCCCGACGGGCACTCCTGCTGATGTAGAGCTGCCTGGGGCTAAATAAATACAGGACGGAAACTGGAAGTTCGCACCAGTGCTCACCATGACTGAGTGTTCACTTGTACCATTATTGTTGTTATTCATAGTAAACGTTTACTCGCTAAAGAGGTTGTTGGAACTTCGATTTGTTTAGAATTCGGGGTATTTACACTTTGTCTCTTATTCCCCATATAAACAAGTTGCTTGGGCCTCGCCTGGCTAAGTCTCTCCGTAGCCCAGCAGGGGGCAGCACGGCCTTGAGAAAGGTTTGACACCTGGGCAGATGGCAGGGGGAAAGGCTCCGCCCACTAAATTCTAGCTAACTAGTCCACAGCAGATGTGTCAACACAGCAGAAGACTTGGCGAATATGGACAGTGTACAGTGTGTTGGAAAACAGGTCATTTTACAGGTTCTGGCCACCTGAATCAGGGCTCTTCTCATGAGGTAAGATCCTTGAGTCCGTACAGTGTCACTGTCCCAAGGTCACTGTCAGTGAGCCAATCTCTCACCACGATGGAAGGTTTGATCATGTATCTCACAAACTGAAAAGAGCATAATGTTTTGTTCTATGCGTGTCTTGTGCCATGACCAAGAGGAACATTTTCACTAATGCTTTCATTTGTGTTCTATTTGTTATGCCATACTTTCTAGAAAGCGTTGCTGTCAAAGCCAGGCATGGTAGCATACTCTTGTAAAATCTCAGCACTTTGAAGGCTTGTGACAGCAAGTGTCAGGGTTTGAGGCTACCCTACCCTTCGCTGCATAGCAGGACCCTACCTCAAAAAACAGGAAAAGCATCCCAGTCAGTGGAATGGAATGTCCAAACAGGATCTGAGGCATGAAGTAGAATTCAAAGAGGGCTTGAACTCGACTTACATTCCTTAAACCTTAGAGCAGGCCTTGTGACTGTTATTCACCTCTGAGTTAGCATTAGGAGGTACTCAGTAAAACTTTACACTGAAGAAATTGCTGTTGCATGTGAATTCTCCATTTCCCCTCTGTCAGTGTCCCTGGGTAGTAAATTAGTGGACTAATAGTGACTGACTCAATTGTGCAGTGTTAAGACTACAAAAATAAGTTGCTGGGCATCAGTGGCTCACGCCTGTAATCTTAATTACTCAGGAGACAGATCTGAGATTCACAGTTGAAAGCCAGTCCGGGCACAGAAATCCATGAAAAACTTACCCCACTGAACCACCAAAAAGCCAGAAATGGAGCTGTGGTCCCTATTGGTAGAGCATTAGCCTTGAGCGGAAAAGCTCAGGCACAGCACCTTCAACTCAGGAGTTCAAGCCCCAGAACCAGCACACACAAAAGAAAAATGTCAATTACAAAAAAAAAAAAACTGTTGTCTTAGTTCATTAGAGGAGGGAAGGTACTCAGTTGCCAAAACAGGTTGACTTTATGTTCACTGCTAATGTTTTAGATAGTAAACACAATTTAAAAATTCACTATTCTCATCCAGACAACTTACTAGCTTATTAAATCTACAGTTAACTAAATATGTATACCTTATTTCTTCCTTCCCTAGTGGCCTTGGTGTCAATAATGCCCTGCTTTTCCCCTATTCTACAAGAAAAGGACCCACAGCACATGAGGTATACATGACCCTAGAATAAATAACCTACTCCCGGCTTTCAAAAGTAAGCAAAGATTTCCTAACCGCCTCCCCCTCTTTAAGTCACTCTGTAGGGGTGTTTATCTGTAATCAAGATAAGTTTGTCAGCTAGTGGAGTCTGCTTTCTAGGGGGTTTTTTTTGGCCGTAAATGGACTTTATATGTCACATTTTCTTTTCTTTTTTTTTTTTTTTGGATCCAGTCGTGGGGCCTGAACTCTGGGCCTGGGCACTGTCCCTCAGCTCTTCAGCTCAAGGCTAGCGCTCTACCACTTGAGCCACAGCGCCACTTCCGGCTTTTTTCTGTTTGCTTATGTGGTGCTGAAGAATCGAACCCAGGGCCTCAGGCATGCAAGGCAAGCGCTCTACCACTGAGCCACCTTCCCAGCCCCATGTCACATTTTCTTACCAGATGAAAGAACTAAAAATGAACTACATCTATGCCTTAGATTATATAACCATTGTCCACCAATTACTTATGTGTAACCCAAAGTAGGAAAGCATTTGATACTGAAGGAGAAGGAAAAAATGAGAAGTCTTGGCTTTGTTGTCCAGGGATTATACATGACTGACCAGCCACGCCAGGACACAGAGAAAGACGCCTAGTACTTCAGCTGGCCTGGTTTTGACAGTTACATTCCACACCGGGTTCCTTCCTATTCCTTAGCTTACCTGTGTCCTTCGGCTCACCGTGTGAGTGACTAGCAGCTCTGGCCAGGTGAGAGTAAAAGCCGTCTGGTTGCTCTGCAAGAGCTGATGTCCAGCTGCCACTTCACGCTCTACCAGTGTATCCATGTTGATCTGTTCGATTCAAGGATCAGAATGCACCCCCCTCCACCTGGAACTCCCCCCCCCCCCCCCCCAAAGCCTTCCATCAGCTCAGTCTCGGCCCAGACGTGACTCTGGGGGAATGTTTGCTGAACTGGAATAGCATCTCTCCCCACACCTAACTTCCTCTGCTTTGTATTTCTTCATTGCGTGTTGTATCCAGCATGTGTGTGAATCCCTCCCTCCCTGTGTGTTGCCTCAAATACTAGATTTATCCCTGCCTGCCCCAAAGAAACTGCAGACCTTCTGAGGGCAGTGACTTAAAACCACCGGGGATTCAATTGGGTGGCAGTTGCTGGCTCTTAGTACAGTGCTTGTCAAACTGTGTCAAGTGGCCAGGCGCCGGGTGGCTCATGCCTATCATCCTAGCTACTCAGGAGACCGCGATCTGAGGATCACAGTATGAAGTCAGCCTGGGCAGAAAAGTCCGCATGAGACTTATCTCCAATGAACCACTCAGAAACTGATAGTGGTTCTGTGGCTCAAGTGATAATAGCACTGGCCTTGAACACAAAGAGGCTCAGGGAGAGCGCCCAGGCCCTGAGTTCAAGCCCCATAATTGACCTCCCCTCCCCCCCAAAAAAGTTGGGTGAATAGACAATTATTTCCAGGCCTCTGATCATTTTAAAGTTTTTTTTTCTGGGCATCCTCATTCCATTCTATCTCTTTGATCGTGGTGGTTATTTAAGTTAATAAAACATCAGATCATGCTACTTAAATCTGGTCTTATCCTAGATTTCAGTTCATCACTCCAGTTACCCCAGGGGCCAACTGCTAATAAGCTTTGCTTTACCTTCATGCCTATACTCGCAAAGTGATAACCCGGGGTTCCCCGCGGGCCCTGGGCGGTCCGTGCGAGGCATGGATGGATGGAGACAAATGCGTGTTGCCAGGCACTGGTGGCAGGTGTCCAGGATCCTAGCCACTGGGCAAGGCCGTGAGAAGCAGAGTTCAAAGCCAGCAGAGGCAACACCCGGCGGGACACCTCCAGGCTCCAAAATTAAATGGCTAAAAGTTCCTACTAGCAGGGAGAGCCTCATGAGAACTGCCAGGACCTGCTAAGAAAACAGCAAGCGACTTAGTGAAAGATGGGGGTCACTGCTCCCAAAACGCCAGGGGAGAAACGGTAGAGATTGCTCGCAATCTCACACTGAAACCATCTAGAATCTCAGCCTTGGTGCCAAAGCCAAAGCCAAAGAACAGCTTTGGTAAGCAGAAAATAAAAAGTGATGAATTCAATGTGACTAGAAAATAATGCAAGAGTAAAGGGGGGGGACGATTTAAAAAATAATAATAAGGTAGGTAGCTCAGATCCAAAACCCAGGCGACTTGTATGCTGGGCTGACAAAACCCTACTGAGCAGGGAAATGAGAATTAACGAAAGTTTCAGACGATGAGGGAGAAAGCAGTCCGATGCTTGGGCTGGGGAAAAGCCGGAGCCGTGGGGTCCAGAGATGGAGGCCAGGGAAGCCCAGCCACGGGAGCAGGAAGAGTAAGAGGGGAAAGGCAGGGGATGGAGACACTCGCTGGCACCTGGTTGCCAGGGTTCTGAGGGGGTGGGAAGCATGGGCAATGGGGGGTGGGGGGTGTACACCCATCAAAGACACAGAACCTCTATCTAGTTCTTTATGCTCCAAAGGAGTTCCTTAAGTCCTATGTTTGGGGGGGTGCATTAGAGGGCGGCCCTGGCATGTGAAATTGGAAAGAGAGGGAGGGAGGGAGGGAGGGAGAAGTATCTACAGAGATGATCGAGGAGTGGGAGCAGACTTAGAGAAGAAGCCAACCGAAGTGTGTGTGTGTGTTGGAAGACCACGCAGAGGAATGAAAGAATGTGAATGGTCGGAAGCTGAGAGTGTGAGGGCCCGGGCTGGGTGGCTCTCAGCCCTCCACCCCCAGGGCCGGGGTTCCAGGCCAGCCCTAGCAAAACGTGCGCAAGTCCTCTCTTCAGCCACACCTGCCATCCGGGCTGTGGCTGGTGGGGAGGCCTACACTAGACACAAAAATTAATAAAATCAAGACCCTCCTTGAAAAACTGTCTGAAGCAAAAAGGGCCGGAGGGGGCTCCAGTGGGAGAGCGCTTGAAGACCTCGAGTTCGAATCCGGGGCACTGCCAGTATGATCAGTATGAAATATACTGATCTTCCATCCTGAAACGAAAGAGACCCAGAACGGATCTTTGACAGGAACAGCACAAGTATAGCTAGATTGATATATACGTATATTGATATATCTATTGATATATATAGATCGATACATATATTGGTATATTAACATATAGATTGATATATAGATAGATATATCCATATATATTGATATATTGACATAGATCGATACATAGATATATTGGTATATTGACATATAGATTGATATATAGATAGATTCATATACATTGATATATTGACATACAGAGATAGATATAGAAAACAACTAAAGCTACAAGTGACTGGATTCCCAGCTCTGTTCTTACAGATTATTCCCACCCAACGGGATCTCTGGGCTGCTCTCCAGCCACACCCCTGCCCCTCCCTCAGCAGCCCTTTCTGGAAACCTCCTTAGGACCTCCATCCACAGCCACTGTCAGGGGCCGCAGGGCGTGGCCTGCTGGGGGGCTGCCTGGGGGGCGGAGCCTGTCGGGGCCACAGGGCGTGGCCTGCTGGGGGGCTGCCTGGGGGGCGGAGCCTGTCGGGGCCACAGGGCGTGGCCTGCTGAGGGGGGGCTGTATGGGGGTGGAGCCTGTCGGGGCCACAGGGCGTGGCCTGCTGGGGGCGGAGCCTGTCAGGGGCCGCAGGGCGTGGCCTGATGGGGGGCTGCCTGGGGGGCGGAGCCTGTCGGGGCCACAGGGCGTGGCCTGCTGGGGGGCTGCCTGGGGGGCGGAGCCTGTCGGGGCCACAGGGCGTGGCCTGCTGAGGGGGGGGGCTGTATGGGGGTGGAGCCCGTCGGGGCCACAGGGCGTGGCCTGCTGGGGGCGGAGCCTGTCAGGGGCCGCAGGGCGTGGCCTGATGGGGGGCTGTCTGGGGGCGGAGCCTGTCTGGAAGGGGGCTGGGGCCTGTCTGGTGGGAGAGGGGGTGGGAGGGGGGGTGTAGCTCTGGGGCAGAGCCCGTCTGGGGCGTGGCCTGCCTTGAAGCGGGGCGTGGCCTGCCTAGGAGCTGTGGCCTATCGGGTGGCGGGGCGGGGCCTGGCGGGAGCTCGCGTCGGACCTGCCCGAGGCCCTTTGTTCCCGCGTGTGCGCTCCGCGCCGCAGGCAGTGTGGGTCTCGTGGGTCCTCGCTGCGGCCTGGGCGGGGGCAGCGGCCACAGCCCCCTCCCGTCGCCCCTCCCCAGCCTCCGCAGGCTCCGGCGGGAGGGTCCCCGCCTCGCTAGGTGCAGGGGGGCGGTGGCGCCGGAGCCGCGCCGGGCCGGCCTCGGCCCCGTCCCCGCGCCCGCCCCCCCGGGTCCGCGCCCGCCCCGCCCCCCTGCCCCCCCTCGTCCCCCCCCGTCCCGCCCCGCCCCCGCCTGCGCCCCGGGTCCCGGCCCCCCCCCCCCCCCCGCCTCCCCGCCCCGGCGCGGCGGCTTAAATAGGAGCGGGAGGCGCGCGCCGCCCGCTGGTCCCGAGCGGCTCCGGGGCGAGGAGCGGGGGGCGAGGGTCGGACCCCGCGGCGGCTCCGGGCGAGGCGAGGGTCGGACCCCGCGGCGGCTCCGGGCGAGGCGAGGGTCGGACCCCGCGGCGGCTCCGGGCGAGGCGAGGGTCGGACCCCGCGGCGGCTCCGGGCGAGGCGAGGGTCGGACCCCGCGGCGGCTCCGGGCGAGGCGAGGGTCGGACCCCGCGGCGGCCGAGGCCGCGAGCATGGAGCGCGTCGCCGAGCCCAAGCCGCGCACGCTGGCCGAGCTGGTGCGCGCGCTGCACCGGCTCTTCGCGGGCGACGAGGTGGACGTGGAGGAGGTGCGGGCCGTGCTGGAGGCCTACGAGGGCGACCCCGCCGAGTGGGCGCCCTACGCCGCCTTCGACCAGTACAGGTGCGGCCGCGGGGGCGCGGGGCGGAGGAGCGGGGCCGGGCGGGCCGGGGGCGCGGGGCGGAGGAGCGGGGCCGGGCGGGCCGGGGGCGCGGGGCGGAGGAGCGGGGCCGGGCGCGGGGCCGTGCCGATCAGGGGCGCGGGACCGAGCGGGGGCGCGGGGCCGGGCGGGCCGGGGCGCGGGGCGGAGGAGCGGGGCCGGCGGGCCGGGGCGCGGGGCCGTGCCGATCGCGGGTCTCCGGGCCCCCGTGTCCCCGGCGCCGCGCTCCGCCCCGCCGTCCCCCCTCCCCGTCCGTCCACCCGCAGCCGCCGGCCACTCGGAGCCCGGGGCCCCATCAGCGGCGCCCTGCCCCCGGGAGACGAGCAGCCCCAAAGCAGAGATGCGGGGCGACGCCCGCTCCCTCTGGGCACCTGGAGGGGCCCGGGCCGGGGGCCACAGCGCACCCGAGACCCCGCACCCGAGAGGATCCCACGCACCCGGGACCCCGCGCACCTGAGATTCCCCCGCACCCAAGATCCCCCCGAACCCGAGAGGATCCCACGCACCCGGGACCCCGCGCACCTGAGATCCCCGCGCACCCGGGACCCCCGGAACCCGAGAGGATCCCACGCACCTGAGATCCCCGCGCACCGGGATCCCCCCCCCGCACCTGAGATTCCCGCGCACCCGAGATCCCCCCGCACCCGGGACCCCGCGCACCCGAGATCCCCCCGCACCCGGGACCCTGCGCACCCGAAATCCCCCCGCACCCGGGACCCTGCGCACCCGAAATCCCCCCGCACCCGGGACCCCGCGCACCTGAGATCCCCCCGCACCCAATATCCCCCCGAACCCGAGATCCCCGCGCACCCGAGATCCCCCCGAACCCGAGATCCCCGCGCACCCGAGATCCCCCCGAACCCGAGATCCCCGCGCACCCGAGATCCCCGCGCACCCGAAATCCCCCCCGCACCCGAAATCCCCCCGCACCCGGGACCCCGCGCACCCGCGATCCCCGCACACCTGCGACCCCGCGCACCCGGGTCCCATGCCCTCGGGGACCTTGTGCGCAATCCCACACTTCTGGAAGGTTCTCTCAGGTGACTGAGGAGAGGGCAGAGGAGGGAGCGGCCGGACCCCGTGGCTGTCAGTGAAGCCGCCCCCATTCGCTCCCGTGTGTTTGAGAGTTTGTTAGGTGTGTTCATGTGTGCGTGTGTGCGTGTGTGCGTGCCTGGTGTGCGTGTGTGCGTGCCTGGTGTGCGTGTGTGCGTGCCTGGTGTGCGTGCGTGCGTGGTGTGTGCGTGCCTGGTGTGCGTGTGTGCGTGCCTGGTGTGCATGCGTGCGTGCGTGGTGTGTGCGTGCCTGGTGTGCGTGTGTGTGTGCGTGTGTGCCTGGTGTGTGTACGTGCCTGGCGTGCGTGTGTGTGTGCGTGGTGTGTGTGTGCCTGGTGTGTGCGTGCCTGGTGTGCGTGCGTGCCTGGTGTGTTCGTGCTTGGTGTGCATGCGTGTGTGCGTGCCTAGTGTGTGTGCGTGCCTGGTGTGTGTGTGTGCATGCTTGGTTGTGTGTGTGTACATGCTGGGTTGTGTGTGCATGCATGCTTGGTTGCGTGTGTGCGTGCCTGGTATGTGTGTGTGTGTCTGTGTGTACATGCTGGGTTGTGTGTGCATGCATGCTTGGTTGTGTGTGTGCGCGTGCATGCTGGGTTGTGTGTGTGTGTACATGCTGGGTTGTGTGTGCATGCATGCTGGGTTGCGTGTGTGCGTGCCTGGTGTGTGTGTGTGTGTGTGTGTGTGTGTGTGTGTACATACCGGCCCTGGGGGGTGGTGAACACAGGGCCTGGGTGATGTCCTTTAGCTTTTTCCGCTCATGACTGGTGCTGGGCCGTTTGAGCCACAGCTCCAGTTCAGCTTTTTTGCTGCCTAATCAGAGCTAAGCGTCCAGTGCAGGTCCTGCCTGGCTGGCTTCTGACCCCCGCTCGGGTCTCAGTCCGAGTCGCTGGGATGCCACCCCAGCCTCCCTCCTCATCATTTCACAAGGAGACCAGCGGGCGGCCAGGCTTAGCGCTGTAGATGTTCTGTTGGTCATTTATCTGACTCCACAGTATTGACCCAGTGAAATGAACCAGGGTGGGCTGATCTTTAGAATTAGCATTTCTAGGGACCTTGAATTCGCCTTCATTAACAGACCCAGTCTCTTCTCCAAGGCAGCACGCTCACCTTAAAGTCAGCCTGGTCCTGGAGGATGGGGGGAGGAGGGTTGGTAAAAGCAGAAGAACCATAGTAGAACAGGTGTCAAGCAGTTTGTTCCCTCAGAGAGCAGACAGATCAATCCTCAGTCCCCAAGAGAGAACTGGGCTCCTGGTGGAGAAACTCGGTTTACTGGGACTCGCCAGACTGTGCGTCCGGCCCTTGGCGAGGTCATAAAGTGCTACCAAGAAAGGAAGACGAAATGGCTCAAAAGTACTTACTAAGCAAGTGCCTCAAGGATCACGCTCAGCAGGCCCTTGGCCCTGAGCCCCAGGGGAAGGAGGGACAGGAGGGAAGGGACAGGTTGGACACAGTACACAGGTGGCCAGAGTGGACAGCATTACACAAAGGTCCTGTGGCACGGGGAGTCTTAAAATGATGTTAGCGTAATCACACTTCAATGGGGGTGGAGGGAAGGGGGAGCCCCACTTCTCCCAAGTTCGGATCGTGCTGCTTTGCTTGAGAGTTTTTGCTTTGTTTTGTTGGCCAGCGATTGGGTTCCTGCAGTAGCAGAAGGTTTTGTATTCTGATCTGAGTTGGCCTTTGTTCCCGCACTCAGGCTAACATCCAGCTTGTTTGTGGGGTGCTTTTCATTACCAGAGGCTCTGAATGTGCTGTGTGTGTGTGTGTGTGTGTGTGTGTGTGTGTGTGTGTGTGTGTGTGTGTGTGTGTGTGTGTGTAAGCTGTAGTGGCTTAAAAAAAATGAACTCTAAAGCAGCTATTTTAATGAAATCTGGTTTCTCAAGTCCTCCTTTAGCTCTGGGAAGGAGAAAGGGGAAAAAAACAAAACAAAACAATAGCCACATTCTTCTAGAGAGCAGTAATAGACTTAAAAAGAAATCTTCTGTGAGAAAGTTACTTATTTTTTTTTTATCAGCCTGAGATTGATGAACATGAAGACACAGAGGGTTTGTTTTGATTTCTGTTACCTTTCCAAGGCATCAATTAAAACTGAGCAGTGAGATTCTATAAAGGTAGGGAATTGAACAGAGGAAGATCTTGTCATCTGTCATAGATGAGCAAACAAAACAAAAACAGCCACAAAATACAGAAGGTCAAAAAATCAACCGTGTGAAATGGTTTTCATTAGGACTGGATTTCTGCTCACACAAAACACATCCAAATTCACTCGGAGGTAGAAATATTAACATGTATACATAAGGGGTATTTTGTGACACATTCATTTTTTTTAACCAGTTCTGTTTTCAGTGGTCAAATTCAACCTACTGAATATGTTGTGGGTTTTTTTGTTTGTGTGTTTGTTTGTTTATCTAGGTATACCCGAAATCTTGTGGACCAAGGAAATGGGAAATTTAATCTGATGATTCTGTGTTGGGGTGAAGGGCACGGAAGGTAAAAATCAGTTCACTCAAGATATTTCTTTTCTCTTGGCTTTTTGGGGTTTTGTCATTGTTGTTTTGTTGTGGTTGTTGCATTTTGTTTTGTTTTGGTATCAAACCCAGCCCCATTTGGGAACTTCGTAGACCCAGCCTAGGGAAATGCAGTCTGGTGCTAGCCATTAACTTTGCAAAGACAAACACATCATGGCTTAGAATTCTTTAGTCACTCTGTCCCTGTAATTCCCAACACTGGGGCTTTCAGGCCTGTACTGTGTCTGCTAAAAACAACAACAACTACCACCAAAAACCGAGCCGGAAATCAAGAGGCAGGACACCACCTTCTTTTAACCTGTTGATCTGAGGTTAAACTTTGTGTTTTCATTGTGCTTAAACCTGACCTCTGAGGTATGAAGTGTGTAAACAGTTGTGGGACCAAAGAACAACCCAGCAGGATTGGGAACTAGAAAAACATTACACAAATTCAAAAAATTTGTTTCTGCTTGGAATCATTCAGCTTCTTTACCTGGAAGGCCCACTCAACCCCACACCGACTCTCTGAAGATCAGTTTTTGGTCTTTACTTTGTATGTTTGTTGTCATGTCATTACCAAATGAATATTGTTATCTTTTTAATCAGTTATTTCTCTGTGTGTGTGTGTGTGTGTGTGTGTGTGTGTGTGTGTGTGTGTGTGTGTGTGTGTTTGTCAGGGGGAGAGAGGAAGGGAGGGAGAGAGAGAGTTGTAGGGCTTGAACTCAGGGCCTGGGCACTCTACCACTTTGAGCCACAGCGCCACTTCCAGCTTTCTGGTGGTTTGTTGGAGATAAGAGTCTTACGGACTTTCCTGCCCAGGCTGGCTTCTTACCTCCATCTTTAGATCTCAGTCTCTTGAGTAACTAGAATAACAGGTGTGAGCCACAGGTACCCAGCTTTTGGGTTTTGAGTCTTGAGGACTTTTCTGCCTGGGCTGGATTTGAGTCTTGATCCTCAGATCTCAGCCTCCTGAGTAGCTAGAATGACAGGCGTGAGCCACTGGAATCTGGAGCCACTTTTGACCGGAGGAAAGAAAGGAGAATTTACAAAGCTTTAGAAAGCTCAATCAGGGGAACATATTTATTTGTCCTTGTGTGTGTGTGTGTGTGTGTGTGTCTGTGTGTGTGTGTGTGTGTGTGTGCCAGCCAGTCCCAATTTAGGGCCTGGGTACTGTCCCTGAGCTTTTTGGCTCAAGGCTGCCAATATACCACTTGAGCCACAGTTGCACTTCCAGCTTTTTGTTTGTTTGTTTGGTTGGTTCTTAAATAAAGATGAGAGTCTCAGGGACTTGCTTGCCTGGGCTGGCTTCAAATCCTGATCCTCAGAACTCAGCCTCCTGAGTAGCTAGGACTGTAGGTGTGAGCCACGGGGCCTGGCTTTTGGGTTTTGTGTTTTCTTGAGGCGGTCTCCCTCTGTAGCACAGGCTGACCTGGAACTCTTCAGTCCTCTTGCCTCTACCTCCTGGATTCTAGGAATCTACCACCTAGCCCATTCACCTTGCACTGAAACTGTGTCCTTCGTCTACTTGGTGGGAGTGATGTGTTTTTCTTCTATTGCTGTTGCCGGGCAGTGTTGAATTGTAAACCTGATGCTATCAGAGATGGATCTGGGCAAGGCGGGGGAGGGGTTGCTGGGGGGGGAGGGGAGGGAGGGGAAGGATCTTGACAGCGGGTGGGTGTCAGGTGCGGAGATGATCCCTGAGCGCCCCCCCCCCCCCCGCGGTCTATACAGCAGTATCCATGACCACACGGACTCCCACTGCTTCCTGAAGATGCTGCAGGGAAGCCTGAAGGAGACGTTATTTGCCTGGCCTGACAAGAAGTCCAACGAGATGACCAAGAAGTCCGAGAGAACTCTGAAGGAGAACCAGTGTGCCTACATCAATGGTAAATGGCCGGTCCTGTGGGGCGGGTGGGGAAGGCACTGTTAACTGAGCCGCTACTTACTGACCCGCGTCCACTGTAAACAGCCCGAGAGGACTTGGGATGGAGAAGTCTTGGGAGATGACCCAAACAGGGGGGTTTGCTTTGTAAGGCTTTCTAGCCGGCTGGGGGTCATTTATCGAAAATATATGCACCCAGACGGTCATCTCATTAGAAAATGGTTTCACCAGCCAGGCAGCGGTGGCTCACGCCTGTCATCCTAGCTACGCAGGAGGCTGAGATCTGAGGATCCTGGTTCAAAGTCAGCCCAGGCAGGAAAGTCCATGCGATTCTTATCTCCAGTTTACTACCAAAAAGCCAGAAATAGAGCTGCGGCTCAAGTGGTAGAGCGCTCGCCTTGAGCTGAAGAGCTCAGGGACAGCCCCAGGCCCAGAGTTCAAGCCACAAGATCAGTACGAATAAAAAAGTCATCTGCCTGCCAAAACTCAGAACTAGTCAGAAGGGAGTATGAATGTACATCAGAGTCATCTTCCAGCAGAAAGATGGTGGAAACGTGATAAAATAGAAGGGAATGTTCTGGAAATAAATGACTAGCTAGCGCCGGATTTTCTGAGATGCAGACGGCATACCTAAAACTCTCCTCAAGGGAAATTTTGCAGAATATATGGTTGGATGGCGAATTGTAGATTTTGTTCCAAGAATTTGTTCCTTCTTCTAAATGCATCTCAGGACAGCCAAATGCTCCCCAGGAAAGGCAGCGAATTCAGTTCTATAGTTCTAAAAGGCGTAGAATGTTCCAGAAAGGCTCATGGTAACACAGGAAGATAAAATAATCTGTATTCTCATTTGCAGGTGAGGCTGCTCACAAGTAAGGAAAATGAGTAAAACTTGTCCAGGTTCTTAAGTGTGTGATCCAGGACTTGAACTCAAGCAGCCCGACTCTGTGCACGCTAGCCGACTGGAATAAAATGAAATACTGCTGAGCTTTTTTCTGGCAAAGCCTGAGAAATATGTTCCTTCCTATATCTTAAAGTCTGGTGCTGGCCAGAGTGCTTGGCCTGAGGTCACTCGGTCCGTTGTGTAGGAATGTGAGTCACTTACAGAGGTCAGATTGGATAGAAGGTTTTTATTCTCCTCCTCTGTCATGTAGCAGGAAATGTCATCAATCTTCCTCAACTATTTGAGAGCTGCTTTATATAGAAGACATGGCAAGTTTCCAAGGACAAGCTGTCGTCCGTACCATACACATAGTAAAGCCAAAGGTTGTCAGAGTAATGAGTTTCAGCTGGAGTTGGTTCTTCTTGAGAAAGCTTTGCTCCTCCTCCTCCTCCTCCTTCTCTTCCTCCTCCTCCTTTTCTTCTTTTTCTTCTTGTACTGAGGCTTGAACTCATAGCCTGGATTGCTAACACTGGGAGGCTGAGGCAGGAGAATCTGGAGTTTGAGACCAACCAGAGCTCTATAGCTCAGGAAGGAAGGGAGAGAGGGAGGAAGGAAGGAAGAAGGAAAGGGAAGGAAAGGTTTCCAGTTTTCTGGTGGCTCATTGGAAAGCAGAGTCTCACAGACTTTCCTTCCTGGGCTGGCTTTGAACCACGATCCTCAGATCTCAGCCTCCTGAGTAGCGGGAATGACAGGCGTGAGCCACCGGCGCCCGGCTTGTAGGTTTTTATTTCTAAATGCTTTTGATCTCCTGGCCCGTCTGACTGCATCTGTCTCTGGGAATGCTGCCAGCTGGCATGGCAGGGGTTTCTAAAGTCCTCTGAAATGACTGTTTTGGCTCAAATGCCTTGGCTATTGGGGCTGGGAAGGGGGCTCAGTGGTAGAGCGCTCGCCTCGCACGCATGAAGCCCTGGGTTCGATTCCTCAGCACCACATTCACAGACAAAGCCGGATGTGGTGCTGTGGCTCAAGCGGTAGAGTGCTCGCCTGGAGCAAAAGAAGCTCAGTAACAGCGCCCTGGCCCTGAGTTCAAGCCCCAGTCTGTCTGGTGAGACACAGCCCTTCCATGGTGAATTTTCAGTGACAGTCTCTTCAGGGCTTGTATTTGTCTTGAGCTGATAAAACCCCCTAGGGAAGACTGGAGCTAAGTGTGGGGAGAGCGCGGATCTTTTCATTCGGTGTGTCGTAGTGTTCGCCTGTTGCGCTCTCTCCAGAACTGGATCTCAGTCTTTACTGGGAGAAAAAAGAGGAGCTTGATGAGAGGCATTTAAGGCTTTTTTTCCCCTAGTTTGTCAACCACGTGGTGTAGTTTTGTTTTGTTTTTTTAATGGTTGTTTTGGTGTCCGTTTTCTGTGCCGGGACTGGGGCTTGAACTCAGGACCTGGGGGCTGCTCCTGAGCTTTTTCACTCAGACTGGGCGCTCCACCACTCGAGCCACATCTCCCCTCCCGGCTTTTTGCTGGTTAGCCGGAGATAGGACTCTTAGGACTTTCTTGAACCTGGATCCTCACATCTCAGCCTCAGGAGTAGCGAGGATGACAGGCGTGAGCCACCGGCGCCTGGCTAGCATTTCAGTTCTAGCATTCAGTGTGGGACAGACACGGCTCCTGGCCTCCGGGGCTCTCTGGTCCCCTTCACCTCTGCCCGCCCTGGCTTTCCGCAGACTCGATCGGCCTCCACCGCGTGGAGAACGTCAGCCACACCGAGCCCGCCGTGAGCCTCCACCTGTACAGCCCGCCCTTCGACACCTGCCACGCCTTTGACCAAAGAACGGGACACAAAAACAAAGTCACCATGACCTTCCACAGCAAATTTGGAGTCAGGACTCCCTTCGTGAGTACTGGCTTTCTCTCCTGGGTATAAACAGCTTGGTGGGGTGGCCGTGTTACCCTACAGTGTTTGCATATCGTGTGTGTGTGTGTGTGTGTGTGTGTGTGTGTGTGTGTGTGTGTGTGCTGACACTGGGGCTTGAACTCAGGGCCGGGGCGCTGTCTCAGCCTTTCTGCTCAAGGCCATCGCTTTGCCACTTAAACCACAGCTCTGTTTCTGACTTTTTGCTGGTTCACTGGAGATCCAGAGCCTCACAGACTTTCTTCTCTGGGCTGGCTCTGAACCACCATCTTTAGACCTCAACCTCCTGAGTCGCAAGGGTGACAGGTGTGAGCCCCCTGGCTGGACCGTTATTTGGATATCTGGAGCATTAAATATTCTTGAAGAATGAAATGAGCCCTTGCTTAGGAGAAGGGCTTGGTGTGTCTTGTTTCTGCAGCTATGGTGGGTCTATGTAAAAAGCTAAATCACCCGCGTAGCGTTGCTTATTGAGGAATTTCAAGATGGCGCATATTCATGGAGATAGCGTTTGCTCCATTTTGGGGGAAATAGCAGAGAATGCTCACCTTCCTCCAAGGGATTCCTGCCGCTGGGACATTGCCTGGTGCATCTGTGTCCTTTGCAGGACTTCGCACAGTGCTCAGATGCTGGAAGGCAGAGTTTTCTCAACCCACTGCCTGCCCTGGCTTTGTTTTTATGCCCTTCCATCTTCCAACCCCCCCTGAGAGAGAGTCCTATCTTGTCCCATTTCTCCAACATGGATAGAAATACAAGACTGCTGAGAACAAGCTGAAATACCTTGAGTGGAAGATTCTCACCCGGTTTTCTTTCTTGCCTTTCTTCCAGCCAACTTCGGGTTCCCTGGAGAACAACTAAAAGGGATCGGATGCTGCGAGCTTTCCCGTGCAGGCTTGCTGAACATCTGCTGGAGGGGGAAGACCTCCAGCCATTGGCTGTCTGTTAATCAGTTCATTTAAATAAGCCAATACTTAGATCCAGTACAAGGCAGGTGCTAATGGAAGGTACTAAGTAAGCAAATGGCGCCTGTTACACTAAGGACAAAAGTCTTGGATTTTAAAACACCCCTGCCGCCCTCCCCCCCCCCCATCCGTCTCCCACATGTGTGAGTGTGTGTGTGCGTGCGTGCGTGCACACACACACATACACACTCATAGACAGTGTCTCTCCTGGTTCTGTTGTTAAGTTCTATTGGAACTATATCGGGGATTTCAATGAACTGTAATTAGCAATAAGTAAAAACAGAAACCCACAGACATCAAATGCCTGTTTGGATACCTGGAGGACTACATGTCTTTAATATTCTTTGTATGTTCTTAATATTTGAATGTTTGATTTTTTTTTTGCATCTGTGCATTTTTTAAAAGCTTTTTTTTCCCAACCTTACTTTACAAGTCCCTCCACTATGATGAGTGGAGAAATTTAGGGTAATTTGCTACTTGGTGGCAAAGAGGACTGAGAAATGTATGCAGAACTAAACCTCCTGCAAACCAAAATATAAACCCACATCTAAGACACCTTCCACCATCACGGCCAGAGACTGTTGAATGCTGCCAAAATTGCCAAATACATGCTCTTAATAAACCTGGATTTGAGCACAATTTGAAGTTGTCTCTCTCTGATGACTACACAAAGATGCCACGTAAATCATAGTTTCTTGGATTTTGATAGATCATCGCAGGCAATGGGAAGGGTGCTTTGCTTCTTTGGGTGGTTGGTTAGAGGTGCTGGGGGTTCAAGCCAGGCCTGCTGGCATGCTAGGTGAGTGCTCTACCATTAGACCAGCCCACACACCTCTCCACATTTCTCTATATTTGCACATTTCAAAGGAAAAGCAGGTGTGTGTGTGTGTGTGTGTGTGTGTGTGTGTGTGTGTGTGTGCTATGTGTCCTAGGGCTCAAACTCAGGGCCAGAGTAGCTGTCCCTAAACTTTTGGGCCCAAGGTTAGCGCTCTGCCAACTTGAGCCACAGCTCCACTTCTCCACTTTTCTGGCGGTTCATTGGAGATCCGAGTCTCAAGGACTTTCCTGGCCAGGCTGACTGCAAACCCCCATTCTCAGATCCCAGCCTCCTGAGTAGCTGGGATGACAGGTGTGAGCCACAGACACATTCTCCAATTCTTGCTCTACTCAGTTTGTGGCAGGGGATTTTTTTTTTTTTTAAGAAGATAGTCATTTATTCTTGTTTATGCTGCTTTGAAGAAGGAGATTATCGGGCCTTTGAAGTTGGGCTCTCTCTGTGGCTTTCCCCCTCAGGAGTTCAGGTTCAGAGGAGTTCTTCTTCCTGTTCTTTTGCCTGGGGGTAACGAGAGTTGCTTTAGGACAAAGTTTCCACCAAGTCTTTCTGTTTTGGTTTTCGAAAGCCTAAACCGGATTGGGGAGGTAGGGTTTAGGAATTAGGTAGGGAGTGGAGGCAAGCTTCTAGATGCATTTGTGGGTGGTGATTCAGGGGGAAAGATGTGTTTGAGGGGTAAGGACGTCCACCCCACCCCCTAGAAGCAGGTGAGCCTCATGGCCTGGAGCATCTGCCCAAAACAGGATCCTTTAACAGACTGAAGCCAGCAGCCAGCAAGTGACTCCCGAGAGAACTTGCAGCATTAGGGTGGTCACGTTCTCAATATCTCAAATGCTGGAAAGGGGAAAGGATTCGCCTATAAAAACAGAAGTTGCTGGGTGCTGGTGGCTCCCACTTGTCATCCTAGCCATTCAGGAGGCTGAGATCTGAGGATCATGGTTTGAAGCCAGTCCAGGCAGAAAAGTCGCTGAGACTCTTAATAAACTACTCAGAAAACAACAACAACAGAAGTGGTTTCTGTGACTTGAAGTAGTAGAGTGCTAGCCAGTATTGAACAGAAGAAGCTCAGTGACCGAGCCCAGGCCCATTGTTGAAACCCCAGGACTGGCCCAAAAAGAGAGACAGACGGGGGGGGGGGGGGGGGGGGGGGGGGGGGGGGGGGGGGGGGGGGGGAGGAAGGAAGGAAGAAAGGGAAGGGAAGGAGGGAGGGAGGGAGGGAGGGAAGGGAGGGAGGGAGGGAAGGGAGGAAGGAAGGAAGGAAGGAAGGAAGGAAGGAAGGAAGGAAGGAAGGAAGGAAGGAAGGAAGGAAGGAAGGAAGGAAGGAAGGAAGGAAAGATCCCTGCCAGCCTGGTAGGATACTGGATCACAGTTGAAATTAATTTTATTCACAGAAAATAAATAGCTTCCAATGTTGGGTAAGCTACGGGCTGCCGTGAGCTAAGATTCATAGACTGCCACTCGATTTGACCCTAGAACAGAAAGTTACTCTAACTCAAGGAAAGGTCCAAATCCTTCCTAGCTGCTCAGGAGGCTGAGATCTGAGGATCACGGTTCAGCGCCAGCCAGGGAAGATAAATCCATGAGACTCTTGTCTCCAACTAAGCACTCAAAAGCAAGTGGAGCCGTGGCTCAAGTGGTAGAGCGCTCGCCTTGAAGAAAAAGATGCTCAGGGACGGCGCTCAGGCCCTGAATTCAAGCCCTAGGGCCCGCGCATACACACACACACACACACACACACACACACAGAGTCAGGCCTACTGATCACAGAAGAATACTCCATCATCCATCATCCAATCCATTCACTTTTTTCTATTTCCACCAAAGTTACTGGTTCTCCTCCCTTCCCCTCTTCCCTCCTCCCTTCCCCTCTTCCCCGCCCCACCCCCACCCCTGCAGTGCAGTCTCTGATCATCTCCAAAATTGTGACGTGGACAGAGACAATGGGCTTTCTCCAGAACACCCTGAGCACTTGAAAGGTACAGTGCATTCTGAGATGCAGGCCTTCCTCTCCTGCATGATAAGATAACCCTCCCTCCTCCACTCGCTTCCTGTGTGATCGGAGATGATCTGCTATCTCCGAACAACGAGGTCCTTGGGTGGAGCAGCCGGGAGCAGCAAACAAGGAAGCCTTCTCCCGGGCTGCCAGAAGATGGCCTTGTTTTTATTTATTCCTTTTCTTGGTGGCACTGGAATTGGAACTCAGGCTCTTGTGGCTTGGCGGGTGCCCTGCCATTGGGGCCATGACTCCACTACTGGTTTTTGCTGGTTAATGGATTTTTCTGCCTGAGCTGGCTTGGAACCTCAACGCTGGTGGTTCTTAAAGGATGAATCTGGGAATTTCTAGAGTCCCCGAGTCCCTGAATCTTTTCCGTAGACTCACAACATCAAAACTGCTTTTTATCATCATCCTAAGATGCTATTTTATTGTCTTGATTTGTTTTGTTTTTGTCAGTCGTGGGGTTTGAACTCAGGACCTGGGCGCTGTCCCTGAGCCACGGCGCCACTTCTGGTTTTCTGGTGGTTCATTGGAGATCAGAGTCTCATGGACTTTCCTGTCCATGCTGGCTTTGAACCACAATCCTCAGATCTCAGCCTCTTGGGTTGCTAGGATTGCAGATGTGAGCCACCAGCACCTGGCTTATTTTATTATTTTTTTAAGGAATTCATTCTCTCATGAGTAGATAGGTGGATTTTTTTTCCCTCCAGAAGCTAATGAACAACGAACGGAATCACACAAAACAAATGCAGAAGATGGAAGGATCCAACTTTCTTTTATTTACACGACATTCAAGAGTCTTGAAATAGCCAGGCACCGGTGACTCACACCTGTAATCCTAGCTACTCAGGAGGCTGAGATCTGAGGATCGCGGTTCAAAGCCAGCCTAGGCAGGAAAGCCCGTGAGACTCTTATCTCCAATGAACCACCAGAAAACTTGAAAGTGGAGTGCTAGCCTTGAGCACAAAAAAGCTCAGAGACGGTGCCTGGGCCCTGAGTTCAAGCCCCATCACCACCCACAAAATGTAGCGACGTGTAGTGAATTTGTTATGGTTATTTTACCATAAATTAAGGGCCACATTTTAAAAATTACTTTTAATTTCTAACAAAGTGGGTATTGATAGATATAATCCGGAGACATAAAAATCTCCTTGGGGATGTTCAATTATTTAAAAGGAGGGGGGGTTGGGGGAAGGGTAGGGGAAGTTGTTTGGGGCCAAAAAGGTGAGAATTGTTCCAGATTCTTGCTCATCTCCAAAAGATACTGAAAGAGCTCCGTGGGAATTCCTCCTCACCAGGTCTTGCCTGTCTGTAATATTGCCATGTACGACCGAAACCCGCTCACCAGGTGAGCCAGTGAACCCCTAGTCCCTTGGGGGTGGGGGAGGGCTTTGTCCACTCAGGAGTGGACAGTGCCGGTTCTCATAAAGATGAGTGAAGACCCACAAAGCCAGCGCCCCACCAACCATACGGCACGCAGGTCTAGTACCACCAAGGGGGAACAGACGGGGAGCTATCCAAGCAAAGATATTTTAAACGTGCGTAATTCCACTCAATCAAAACAGCTTCCCCCCCACCACCCCCCCCACCCCCGCTCCCTCCTTTATCTTGGGCAAGTTTCGAGTGTCCAAAGGCCTCTGTTCTCGGCTGGGGCTCATAATGGAATCTAACATTCACCCATTCGTTCATTATTATTATTTTTTTTTTTTTGGTCCAGTCGTGGGGCCTGAACTCTGGGCCTGGGCGCTGTCCCTCAGCTCTTCAGCTCAAGGCTAGCGCTCTACCACTTGAGCCACAGCGCCACTTCCAGCAAAGCTAAGCAAGTGTGTGAGGCTCTGAGTTCAAGTCCCATCGCATGCACACACACACACACACACACACACACACACACACACACACACACAGACTAATTCCAAAATTTAGTTATTGCCTTATAGTTCTGTGTCTATTAACTATCTCCTTAGCCCTATACACAATGTCAAGCCCAGGAAACATTGAAGCAAACGACCTCACGACTGGGAATTCACAGCCAATGAGGAGATAAATCTTTTGAAAAATATTTATAAATTACTGAAGTGATTTTGATATTCCTAACTTCATTTTCTTTCCCTGTTTTTTGACCAAAAGTTGTTAGTTCCCTCTTATACTCGTGGAATGTTCTAAAGCTGTATTTGTCTCTCCTTGTCTTCTTTTTTCCTTCATTTATTCCACAAATAGTTGTTGCTAACCATCATGTCCTAGTGTATGGGGGTGGAGGATGACTCAGAAGTCAAAGCCCCCGTTTTACCCATTGAGCTCCAAGATAAATACATCGCGTAAGTGCTACTAAGAAATGGTAAACTGGAGGAAGGAAATGAAGGTGTGGCTCAAGTAGTAGAGTGCCAGCCTTGTGCAAAAATAAGGCAAACAAGAGTACCAGGCCCAGAGTCTAAGTCCCAGTACCAGCACACACACACACACACACACACACACACTAGGTCTGGTGGCTCACTCCTGTCATCCTGGCAAACACAAGGGGCTGAGATCTGAGGATCTAGGTTTAAAGCCCTCCCAGGTAAACAAACCCCACTCATCTCCGTTTAACCGGCAAAAAACTAGACCTTGAAGTGTGGCTTAAGTAGAACAGTGCCAGTCTGAAGAGGGAAAAAGCAAAGCTAAGCAAGTGCGTGAGGTTCTGAGTTCAAGTCTCAGCACACACACACACACACACACACACACACACACACACACACACAGACTAATTCCAAAATTTAGTTATTGCCTTATAGTTCTTGATTTTTTTTTGGGGGGGGGGGCGGGTCTGGTCAGGCC